TGGAAACTGAACAACCTGCTCTGGAATGTCCATTGGGTAAATAACGAAATAAAGGTAGAAATAAATACGTTCCTTGAAACTAATTAGAACAAAGACACAACATACCAGAATCTCTGGGCCACAGCCAAACAGTGTTTAGAGGAAAATTTATAGCACTAAATGCCTCCAGGAGAAAGCAGGAAAGATCTAAAATCGACACTCTAACATCACAATTAAAAGAACTAGAGAAGCAAGAGCAAACAAATTCAAAAGCTAGCAGAAGACAAGAAAGAACTAAGATCAGAGCAGAACTGAAGGAGACAGACACACGAAAAATGCTTCAAAAAACAATGAGCCCAAGAGCTGTTTTTTTTTTTTGAAAAGATCAACAAGATAGACAGAGGACTAGCCAGACTAATACAGAAGAAAAGAGGAGAATCAAATAGACACAATAAAAAATGATAAAGGGGATATCACCACAGATCCCACAGAAATACAAACTACCACCAGATAACACTATAAACAACTCTACACAAACTAGAAAATCTAGAAGAAATGAATAAATTCCTAGACACATCCACCCTCCCAAGACTAAACCAAGCAGTCAAATCCCTAAATAGACCAATAACAAGTTCTGAAACTGAGGCAGCAATTAATAGCCTACCAAAGAAAAAAAGCCCAGGACCAGATGGCTTCACAGCCAAATTCTACCAGAGGTACAATTCTACCAGAGGTACAAACTCTACTATAGGTACAGAGGAGCTGGTACCATTCCTTCTGAAACTATTCCCAACAACAGAAAAAGAGGGAGTCCTCCCTAACTCATTTTACGAGGCCAGCATGATCCTAACACCAAAACTTGTCAGAGACACAACAAAAAAAGAAAATTTCAGGTCAATACGCCTGATGAACATCAATGTGAAAATCCTCAATAAAATACTGTGAAACCGAATCCAGCAGCACATCAAAAAGCTTATCCACTACAATCAAGTTGGCTTCATCCCTGGAATGCAAGGCTGGTTCAACGTACACAAATCAATAAACGTCATCCATCACATAAACAGAACCAATGACAAAAACCATATAATTATCTCAATAGATGCAGAAAAGGCCTTCAACAAAATTCAACACCCCTTCATGCTAAAAACTCTCAATAAACTAGGCATCAATGGAACGTATCTCAAAATAATAAGAGTTATTTATGACAAAAACACAGCCAATATCATACTGAATGGACAAAAGCTCAAAGCATTCCCATTGAAAACCAGCACAAGACAAGTATACCCTCTCTCACCACTCCTGTTCAACACAGTATTGGAAGTTCTGGCCAGGACAATCAGGCAAGAGAAAGAATAAAGGGTATTCAAATAGGAAGAGAGAAAGTCAAATTATCTCTGTTTGCAGATGACATGATTGTATATTTAGAAAACCTCATCATCTCAGCCCAAAATCTCCTTAAGCTGATAAGCAACTTCAGCAAAGTCTCAGGTTACAAAATCAATGTGCAAAAATCACAAGCATTCCCAGACACCAGTAATAGACAAACAGAGAGCCAAATCATGAGTAAACGCCCATTCACAATTGCTACAAAGAGAATAACACACCTAGGAATACAACTTACAAGGGATGTGAAGGACCTCTTTAAGGAGAACTACAAACTAATGCTCAAGAAAATAAGAGAAGATACAAATAAGTGGAAAAACATTCCATGCTCAAGGATAGGAAGAATCAATGTTGTGAAAATGGCCATACTATCCAAAGTAATTTATAGATTCAATGCTGTCCCCATCAACCTACCACTGACTTTCTTCACAGAATTAGAAAAAACTACTTTAAATTTCATATGGAAGTAAAAAGAGCCCATATAGCCAAGAGAATCCTAAGCAAAAAGATGAAAGCTGGAGGCATCATGCTACCTGACTTCAAAATCATATTACAAAGTTACAGTAACCAAAACAGCATGTTACTGGTACCAAAACAGATATATAGACCAACGGAACAGAACAGAGGCCTCAGAAATAACACCATACATCTACATCCATCTGATCTTTGAAAACTCTGACAAAAACAAGCAATAGGGAAAGGATTCCCTATTTAATAAATGGTGCTAGGAAAACTGGCTAGTCATATGCAGAAAGCTGAAACTGGATCCCTTCCTTACACCTTATACAAAAATTAATTCAAGATGGATTAAAGACTTAAATGTAAGACCTAAAAACCATAAAAACTCTAGAAGAAAACCTAGGCAATACCATCCAGGACATAGGCATGGGCAAGGACTTCATGACTAAAACACCAAAAGCAATGGCAACAAAAGCCAAAATTGACAAATGGGATCTAATTAAATTAAAGGGCTTCTATACAGGAAAAGAAACTACCATCAGCATGAACTGAGGCAACCTACAGAATGGGAGAAAATTTTTGCAATCTCTCCATCTGACAAAGGGCTAATATCCAGAATCTACAAAGAACTTAAACAAACTTACAAGAAAAAAAAAAAAAAAAAACCCATCAAAAAGTAGGTGAAGGATATAAGCAGACACTTCTCAAAAGAAGACATTTATGCAGTCAACAAACATGAAAAAAAGCTCACCATCACTGGTCATTAGAGAAATGCATATCAAACTGCGAGGAGATACCATCTCATGCCAATTAGAATGGCAATCATTAAAAAGTCAGGAAACAACAGATGTTGGAGAGGATGTGGAGAAATAGGAATGCTTTTACACCATTGGTGGGAGTGTAAATTAGTTCAACCACTGTGGAAGACAGTGAGGTGATTCCTCACGGATCTAAACCAGAAATACCATTTGACCCAGTAATCTCATTACTGAGTACATACCCAAAATATTTATGATAAATCATTCTACTGTAAAGACACATGCACACGTACGTTGACTGCAGCACTGTTCAAAATAGCAAAGACTTGGTACCAACCCAAAAGGCCATCGATGATAGACTGGATAAAGAAAATGTGGCACGTATACACCATGGAATACTATGCAACCATATAAAACGATGAGTTCATGTCCTTTACAGGGACATGGATAAAGCTAGAAACCATCATTCTCAGGAAATTAACACAAGAACAGAAAACCAAACACCGCATGTTCTCACACATGGACACAGGGAGGGGAACATCACACACCAGGGATTATCAGGGGGTTGGGGGCTACGGGAGGGATAGCATTAGGAGAAATACCTAATGTAGTTGACAGATTGATGGGTGCAGCAAACCACCATGGTACATGTATACCTATGTAACAAACCTGCACATTCTGCACATGTATACAAGTACTTAAAGTATAAAAAATAAAAAATGAAAAAAAAAAGTGGTATATAACTGCTGGGACACACACATGTGCTATTGTTGTTTGGTTTTAAAAAAGTGTACTTTAATATTTCTTTTATCTCCAAAAGCTGTTATCAATTTATCAGTTTATCTTAAAATGGATACAATCTTTAGAGGAGAAAAGATACATAAACATAAAAAACATGGAAGACTAAAATGCATCTCCAGTGACAATAAAACTGCTCAAAGTTGGAATTTAACTCAATCACTTCAATCAGGAAATACACAGACAAGCAACATATATTTTTCCCCTCCATTGTAAGGTCCACACCCTGGAACTTATTATTAAAATCAAACACTAACTTAGAAATGTTATTAGGTTGGTGCAAAGGTAATTGTGTTTTTTGCCATTTTTTTAATGTTCAAAAACCGCAATTACTTTTGCACCAAACTATACAATCAAAAATCCTAAAGTAATCATATGAACTCTTTTTTTGTTTTTTTCTTGAGACAGGTTCTTGCTTTGTCTCACAGGCTGGAGTGTGCAGTGGCATGACCATGGTTCACTGAAGCCTTGGCCTCCTAGGCTCAAGCGATCCTCCCACCTCAGCCACTTGAGTATATGGGACTATAGGTGTGCACCAACATGCCCAGCTAGTATTTTTTATTTTTTGTAGAGACAGGGTCTCGCTATGTTACCAGGGTTAGTCTTGAACTCCTAGGCCCAAGCAATCCACCCGCCTCAGCTTCCCAAAGCACTGGGATTACAGGCATGAGCCACCATGCTTGGCACAAACTTCCTATAATTGTTAATTTTTACTTATTTTGTATTAATTCCTTAATCTTTTCTAAAAAGTTGGTCTTTTTAGGGGGATGAAGCGTAGTGAGAAAGTCCTTATTCTTTTTACATTTTCATTTTGAAATAATTTCAGACTTATAAAAAGTGATAAAATACAGAGTGGTATAAATAATACCAGCTTCCCCCACTGCTGCTCCTGCTCCTATTGCTACTATTACTAAGAGCAAACATTTATTCAGAGGTTTATTATTTTCCAGGCACTGTAATAAACAGAATATTGCATGATTCACATAATGTTCTAATGAAATTTAAATCTTAATTTCTTGAGTAAACTGAAGTACCAAAGGTTCAGTAACATGCTCAAGGTCACAGCTAGTAAATAGCAGAGTAGGAATTTCAACCAAAAGACTGCCTGATTTCAAAGCTTCTGTTCTTACCCACTAAGCTATCCTACCTAATTTAAGCACTTATTTACTGTCTTACCTTATGATTTCCAAGTATAGGTCTTAAATCCTATTTTAAATTATTTAAAATATTTTATATAATAAAGATTTTACTCAAGAGGCAAAAATACTTTTATTAATATTTTTATCATTATTCCAAGTAAATGACATTTTCTCTCAGAACGAAACATTTCCTTCTAAAGATAACAAAAAGCTTGTGACTTGTCTCAGGCAAACTTTTCTTAATGTACCATTTTAAAATTTTTTTTTCTTCCTTTCAAGCATCTGTTGAATTATAATCAACATGTCAAGACAGGAGTTTATATGTAGATATTCCTATCAATAGTGATAAACATGCTGAGGAGAACTTAATAAAATTTTCTAGTTTTAAAACACACATACAAATCTAAATTTATTTTCTTTTATTACAAACAAAGTAAGAAAACAGACCTAAAAAGAAACCCAGTGCAGTGGTCTGCTTACTTACCTTGCGAGCAAAATCCCCTTTTCCTTTACTATAGGCTTTGTTCTCAAGGAAATCATACACATAGTGAGCTAAAGCTGGGGATGCCTTCATCATTTCAGGAGCTAACAGTAACTAACAGGAAAAAAAAAAAAGAGAGATTATCTTAAACTGACAGGATGCTAGAAATTAACTATTGTTTATAACTTTAGCTCATAAATTTTAAGAATGTATAGTAAAAAATATCAATTTATATTTTTAAAAACCCAATTATACAGTTAAGATAAAGTCACCAATAATTTTATGACAATTAACAGTTAGGTATACATATTCTTCACGTCAGCTATTTTGACTTTAAGTGTACTAATATGAAAGTTGTTCGAATATATTTACTATTTTATTTTCAGATCTTATAGCTTATACTAAGAAGATCCACGTTAGAAAACTGTTACGTTATCTGCATAGTAATTCTAGAGTTAAAATTAAATAATCTGGGCAAGGTGGCTCATGCCTGTAATCCCAGCACTTTTGGAGACTGAGGTGGGAAAATTGCTCGAGCCAGGAATACAAGACCAGCCTGGGCAACAAAGTAAGACCCCATCTCTACCAAAAAATTAAAAAAATTAGCCAGGCACAGTGGCATGCACTTGTAGTCCTAGTTACTTAGCAGGCTGAGGCAGGAGGATCCCTTGAGCCCAGGAGTTCAAAGTTGCAGTGAGCTATTATGGCACCACTGCATTCCAGCCTAGGTGACAGAGCAAGACCCTGTCTCAAAACAAACAAAACATTAAATAAAAATGGTATGAAATAAAGTACATAAAATAATCCAAACAAAAACATTCAAGTGTTACACGGAAGCCCCAAATAAAATATTGCTTTCACAACTGGAATGTTACAACATTCTAGCTTGGTCCCTTCAATGGAACAAGTTTTGACATACTGAGTTCATTAGCTAAGAAGTACACAATACAGCAACATCTAAAAGATACATTTATGATAAAAGATTTGGGAAAAAGTAATTTTTCTTAAGAATCTTGTAAATAAATGATACAGACATTTAGCACTTTAAACAAAAAATTCAAATGTTTGAGCCAGGAGAAGACAGGCATGTGCATTTATCTAAACACAAACAAGCAAAATCCCTAACACGGAGTGTCTAAAAACTTCCAAGTTAATCAATACACACAGAAATAATGTTTACAAATTACTAAGCAGACTGCATGTCACACTTGACATGCTGCACAAAAGTGGTGGCTATCCTGCGATTACAGTAAAAACACTCTGTGTGCTATATTAAATGAAAAACGTTCTATACCTGTGTGCTATATTAAATGAAAATCTGTAGATTATAGTAAGCATGAGCTTACCTGCAAATATGCATTTAGATCCTTTTTTCTCTTTTCTAAAAAATCTCTATCCATATTATTAAAAGTCTTTTTTCCAGGAAGCTTCAATATGCTTGATAGACTTTCAAACTGTAAAACAAAATACATTCAATAGCACTTTTTATAAAGACAAAAGGTTTCCCCAAGTGATGATTTCTCTACATATTAAAAACATCTTCAGGCCAGGTGCGGTGGCTCATGCCTGTAATCCCAGCACTTTGGGAAGCTGAGGCAGGCAGATCACCTGAGGTCGGGAGTTTGAGACCAGCCTGACCAACACGGAGAAACCCCGTCTCTATTAAAAATACAAAATTAGCTGGGCGTGGTGCACATGCCTGTAATCCCAGTTACTTGGGAGGCTCAGGGAGGAGAATAGCTTGAATCCAGAAGGTAGAGGTTACGATGAGACGAAAGTGCGCCATTGCACTCCAGTCTGGGCAACAAGAGCAAAACTCCACCTCAAACAACAATAACAAAACCATCTTCAACAGATAATTTTGCAATATATTACGTGAAAATCAGAAAATAAAAAAAATGTCCAAATATACTCAAAACACGTTCTAATATTATTTATTTAAAAAGTATCTTAAATCAAGAATGACAAATTTGCATAAATGATGAAGATGGATTTTGACCATGTGGGATTTAATTTCATATTCTCCCTAACGTTGAGATTGTTCAAAATTTTTATAATAAAAGGTTTTAAAAAATATTTTCCTTAATAAGTCTTTGACCTGTGAATAAAGTACTAGCAAATAAAATGACAATTTTCAAAATACAGATAGTAGCTATATTATAACCCTGTGTATATACAATTATAATAAATATTGATACCTTTGTCCCATCAACCACATTAAACATAAACTCATAGATTACACTAACCAAAAAAATTAGTAACAGTCAGCATATACTTTATCTTTGTAAAATCACAAACACAAAGTAAATGTGTATACTATAAGTCTAGCACTTATGGACTTAACATTTGGATGCACCTTCAAAGGTCCATCATCGTAATCTATAATGCCTTGTTAAAACATAGATTTTTTTTAACCATACTAGCTGCTAAAATAGTTTAACAGCAAAGTCATTTAACTAGTGACTGTACCTGACCAACAGCCTAGTACTGAAATTCAAACAGGCCTCACCACTTTTCCCATGTGATACATATCCTAAAGTGAAACAAACTTTTTTAAACAATTATTTGTTCAAAAGAAGAACATTTCTGTAAAGAAAACTAATTCTTGGTGCAGAGATTAAAGAGAAGAGAAATGAAAAGGATTAGGATAATTTCCATCCCCAAACTGGAAGATTCTGATACATTATTAAAAGAAGGACAAATCTGATGGCTGCTTAGAGCTAAAATGTGAGCGAGTTCATTATATGTTACACATGAAAGGCAAAAGTAGTTTTTTACTCCAGTATTGGGAGGAAAACCAAAAATGGGTACAGGTAATTTACAGAGAAAACATCATACTATAGCAATATTCTCAAATGTGGTGATTCATAGAAGTATTAGAAATGGGATCCTCACTGAATATCACATGTCAAAAAAAATTTTTTTGGAAGCAAATTTACTTTTTCAAGGTGTCCTAAAAGATATTTCCTGCAATATGACCTATTCACATTAAACTACTGATTCAATTTTAGAAAATACATATTTTTTCTGGCATTACCAATTCTTCTGTGCTTGTACTGTATTTCCTCAAATTCATGTTGAAGCCCTAACTTTCAGTGCCTCAGATTGTGACTGAATTCAGAGATAAAGCCCTTAAAGAGATGATTAAGTTTAAATGAGCCCCTTAGGGTGGGCCCCAACCCAACCTGACTGGTATCCTATCAGAAAAGAAAATTTGGACCCACTAAGAGACAAGAGGAATGCATCACACAGGGAAATGGCCACATAGGGACATGGCAAGAACCCTGCCATCTACAAGCCAAGAAGTAAGGCCTCACGACAAACCAAACTGTCAATACCTTGATCTTTGATTTCTAGTTTCTGGAACTGTCAGAAAATAAATTTCTGTTATTTGGGCCACCCAGCTGGCGGTATTTTATTAGGGCAGCCCTACCAAACTAATATACCAAGGCAATATGACAGTATCCATTAAAACAACAAATTATTTCAGAAACTTTAAAATATTAAACCTTGCTAATAAAAAGAAAAAAAAAACTACAATAACAGTTGTTTTCTTAAAGCCTAAATTACCAAAACAAACTCCGTTGTAAGTTGTCTGTCTGGAACAGAAACATAAATCACTAACACTTTTCTCAAACTATAAAAGCAAGGGAGAAAATGTGAAAATTTACACTCTGTATTAACTCATCATAAACTTGCTATTTAAAATATTATTTTAAAGTACGAACAAAACAATTGCCCATTCCCTGAAAAGTAATGTAATTCCCTCTGCCAACAATTCATGAAAATATTTTTAAAGGCATTTAAAAAAAAATTAGAAATTCAGCAAAAAAGAACTAAAATAAATTATAACAGAGGATGTCAATGTTTACAAATAATTCAAATACTAAACATAAATCGCAGACATTCTAAAATCAAAGATCTTACTTTTCTACATTAAACACACCAAGTTTAGATTCCCAATACACTCCTGGAAAATTTAAAGAACAGATTTAAAATTTTGTATTAAAGTAATTCAAAATTTGTTTAATATGGTGCATATTTTTACTCAGTTATCTTAATGAATACTTAATATTATCATTTAAATCATTAGTAGTTTATCTGTACCCATATAGATTTCACCAAATAAAACAGAAATGCACAGTAACTACTACACTATAAGCACTTAGAGGCAAGGACTTGGTCTGTCTTGTTCCCTTCTATGTTGCTAGCACCAAGAAAAGTACCAGACACATAGGAAAAGCCTAATAAATATTTGTTAAATCAATGAATGAGCAGCTCAGGCCGTTTCCAAAATCATGACATTTAACATTTTAATTAGTTTCTTTTAATTCTTATAAGTCTCCATAAAACAACAAATAAGATTATTAAAATCTTTAAAGAAAATAAATGATAGCTCATACATTTAGCTTGGATTTTCATTTATTTATTTATTTATTTATTTACGGAACAGGGTCTCACTCTGTCATTTATTTATTTATGGAACAGGGTCTCGCTCTGTCACCCAGGCTGGAGTGCTGTGGTAGGATCTCAGCTCACTGCAATCTCCACCTCCCAGGCTCAAGTGATCCTCCCACCTCAGCCTCCTGAGTAGCTGGGACTACAGGCAGGCACCACCACACCCAGCTAATTTTTTGTATTTTTTGTAGAGAGAAGGTTTCGCCATGTTGCCCAGGCTGGTCTCAAACTCCTGACCTCAAGCAATCTGCCCACCTCAGCCTCCCAAAGTGCTGGAATTATAGGTGTGAGGCACCTAGCTTGGTCTTGGAAAAAATGTTGTATCACGAAATGATATAAACAAAATGAAACTTGTTTTAAAACAATTTTACTTTAAGTGCTCTATGCAGTTACCATTTGTTCATGTTAACAGGCTGTACTGTGACCAACTGCTGAATTACAAATCGTTACATTTTTCTTCCATTATTTTATAAGGGATTTGTTTTTAAAATATAGATAAGGCTGAGATAAAAGGCAAACACCCTAAGTCTTATTTACAGATACTTAATATTTTACTAAAACCTAATTTTCATTTAAGAGTTTTTAATCTCTTAAGTTCTGTGAACAATCTAAACACTTAATCACTACTGTGGCTTTATAAGAAACACACGCACACACACCCCCACACCCACACACACAAACACAAAAAAGGAAACACCAAGTCAAAACACGTCCATTTCACTTGCATGAGCTGTTTGAAAAAGAAATTGTGCTGTATCAATGTCATATAATTTCTGGTGCTGAATTGAAAAGGGAAATTTCTGTATGAACTGTCCTCTTAAAGTTTTCTTAAAAGGTATGTTCTTCATTTACATTTGTCAATATGTAAACTTAATGCCTACAGTTCTAGTCTAGCTCTACATTTAAATCAGGGAATGATTATTCCTCTTAACTAGAAAGAAAATTACAACTATTTACACAATAAAAATTTCATATTAAACAATACTCTCATTAATTTGCAAGTAAATTCATTTGCAAATAAATAAAACTCTTACCAATTCAAATTACTTTTTAAATTACCATGTTTGGTTAAAGTGTAAGGATGGGAATAAAAAGATATATGAGCTATATGCTTTTAAAACAATATCAAACAGGTAATATTTTAAAAAGGTAAAGCAATTATTTCTTCAATGTGGGGCAGAAAGTTATTTCATCTCTGCAAACAAGTCTAAAGATGAAGAAAGGTTATATTTGACTTCAGAACAGAAGAACAGGTACGTCTAAAGTTATTAATTTTCTTATTAATATAATTCAAAATAGTCCTTTTAATACAGGCTTCAGAAGTCAACATTAACCTGTTTTTCATCACTTTAAAGCTATTAATCTCTATCCACAAGATATTTTAATAAGATTATCATGGTGCCAACTATATATTTTCCACTATATTAAGTTGAAAAAGATATTTTCTGATTTCTAAAGTAGTGCAATGTCATTTCAAAGCTTTAGTTCACCCAATCAGATGTCACTTTTAACTATTATTGGTTTAATACCAGTTGTATACCTAAAAGCCCTGAATGAGTCAAAGACTTTTTAAGAGTTAAAATAAATTTCATAGATCATTTATTCCAATTCATCAAAATTTTTTTTAGGTTGAGAAAATAAAATATTTAATTAAAAAATAGGACAGGGAAATAATTTCTTTAGATTTGTTATCTTTAAGAGTCCTTTTAAATTATTTCTATAAAACAAGAATTAAAAATAAAATTAAAAGAATTAAAAGTAAGAATTAAAAATATTATTTGGTTAATATTAAATTTATTTTAGGTTGTGATTCAAAATAATTTGAGTAATGAATCAAGGATTCATTTCACTGTTACACTGCTAGATGAAACTGCCATTTAAAATAACTTCTAGGTTTAAACTATGCCTTCAAAAACAAAAGCACAAAATGTCCTACAGCAATCCCCATTCCTACTTCGAAGTAAGCCCAAAAAAACTTCGAAAAGCACAATAGACACAAACAAATTTTAAAATCAGAAACATGTATTCACTTTAATTTTCCAAGGTATACCCTTGATAGTTTGTCACTAGTCCGTAATGGTTAGGACTGATGAAGTGTCCAACATCTGATTTATTTGTTAAATGCTCAGATTAATTCTAAGATTTATGGTGATTATACAAAAAATTCTTACCTTATTTTTTAAACATATCAATACCTGAGCATCCTCAGATTTATAATCAAAATCAAATCAAGAAACAACATAAAGTACACAAGTTTTTAAAACTTCATTACCTGTTCAGTGATTCTCATGTGGAAGTCATGGAAGTCACTATAACGACGATAGGTTTTCCACATCTCCTCACTGTTCAGGTTGCGCCGGTGTACAGTGATGGCATATAATGCATATGTCTTGCCATGATCATTACAAACGCCTGCCACAGCATATGGATCACAGTCAGCATATACTAGTCATTTAAAACAAAATGAAGAGGAACGAAAGACACAAAAAAGGAGGAAGATGAAGAAAACAAAAAAGATAATATGAAATGAAGAAGAATCTGAAATGATAGACTGAGACAGAAGGATGTCACCAAAGGATAGATTCCCATCCTCCATACTCACATCCATAAGGTATTACATATAATGGCTAAAATACAAAATAAACTAAGTTTAGTATGACACTATCAATCACAAAGTGGTACCCATTACAATTCTCTCTCTTCCAAAGAGCTTTCTGTTACTACATCACTACATCATTACATTACTACATCTAATGTTACCTCAGAGAGTAAAATTAGAATTTCTTAAATTTAATATAGAAAAAATAAACAAAATAATGTTTTGTCCTAGCCTTCACTCTTCAGTTGTGTTATAATTAAAATCTTTTCAACTAAACAGCAACAGCCACGGGGTAACATTTATCTTCTGGTAATTTTCTTTTTCTTTGATATGTTCAATAGTTCACAAGCGCAGTTTATTCTGGGGATTTTTTTTTCAAAGCATTTTCACATTAATTTGCCACCTATCAAGTCAGGTAATCTCTAAAATCAAAGCCTGTTCCCATTTTGTGCTAATCTTAACTAAGGAGATGCACTTTAAATCATTTTCTCTAACTTGTGTTTCTGATGTTCCATTTCTTTATCTTTCTGCACTCTACAATTAGGTCTCCAAAAGTTAATATTGAGTCTCTTCTCATCTGTATCCGGCCTATTTCTTAATCTATCCTCTGACCTTTATTTCAATCACTGTATTTTTTTATCTGTAGAGTTCTATTTGGTTCTTTTTCATATTGTTTATTCTTGTCTTAGGATTTCTCTCTAGGAATATTTTTAACATACTTATGGCCAAATCTATTAAGACTGCCATCTCCAAGTTCACAGGATGCAAATTATCTGCTGGTTCTGTTGGCTTTCTCTTATTGTGGTTCCTATTTCTTTCTGTTGCTATTAATTGCTTTCTGTAAGCTCATTTCCAGCTGGTTTTATTTCTCCCTGGGTGTTCTGAGTGCCCTTGGCTAGGGAAGCATTCACATTGAACAGTGTCAAGTGTCATCACTCTAACTGCTGGTTTCAGTGGTTCAGAAATAATTTTAATACTAACTCTCTGGCTTGAGATCTTGCAGTACATAATCACTTGAGGACAGCTAAATCCGGACATACTCATGATGGGATGCAAGCTGGGCTTTCAGTATTTTGTGGGTGACAGATACCATTTCCAATCATGATCTTGACATTTCTTGTTCTTCCTACTGATGGCAGGCTAAGTTTTCCTAGTTCCTCTTTGACATCGAGCTGCCCTTTGTGACTCTAGCCTTTATGTGAAGTACTTTGTTCCAGCTTCCCATGGCCTTGGCCCATCCTGCCTCCTCTAAATGTGAGGGCATGAAAATGCCATCAAAATCAAGATCCAGTCTTTATGCTACTATGAACCACTTGCTTTAACACCCCTTCAATTCCCTGAATTTATTTTTCTTCATGGTATATGGCACCTGTAGTTTTTCCCCTTCAGCTATTCTTGTAATAATGTTTTCAGCCTTTCTATACGTGGAAGGCATTATTTCCCATAGCAGTTCAGACTACCACACTAACCAGAAGTCTAAAACTGATCTTGTAATAATGGATTACGTTGATTTGTAAGTGTGAATAAAAATGGTCAAGGTCTGGGGCTAATATTTTGCTGTTTTGTATACAACTGGGCAGAAGTAGTTCAGTATAGCTTTTTGGTAAATTAATAACATATAAGTTAGAACTCTATATTGGCAAGAGTAGTTGGACAGAAGCTCTTTCCGAACTTTCATAAAAATTTTTCTAAGATTTGCACTTTCTTTTCAAAATTGTCTTTCATTCCCTTTCCATCTATTATCACTGTTTCTGATTTGACAAAATATATGACTAGAAGTAGACTTTGGACATCTTGCTCTATAAGTAGCACTATTATTCACTGTTCACCTCGTCCACTTGTCTTTCTCTCAGAGACTTATGCAAATCAAACAGCACAACACATTTTAATCACGTTAGAGAACCACCATTTCTCAATGGAGTTAGCATGGCAACAAGAGAATGGTTTTATCAGGTGTGTCCAAGATAGGTTTGGGAAAGGAAAACAGAAAGCAGAGGCCAATTAGGCAGCTAACCATAACCAATTAAAAATTAACAAGAGCAAGAATAGCAAGAAACAAAAAAGGAGAAGAGATATAAGAAAGAATAATCAGAATTTGTCAAAAATCGATAGGCTTGGAAGATCACTCAGGGTGCATGCACGGTAGGAAAAATAATGAGATAATTATTTAAAAAAATACAGAAGACATCAAGGTAATGTGACTTAAAGACAATGGGGTTACACATATTGGTTTTGTGAAGATCATGATTTAGCTAGAAGGGTTTGTTTTTATTAGACCAATGTTACTCATAGCGAGTGATCTGCAAACTATTTGCTACTAATTTTTATTATGTAAAAAAAAGGCACCAGAATGTAAATCAACTTCATTACTAATCATATTGTTTAATTTAGCCAATACTTTTTAAAGCAAGATTTCTCGATGAATGAAGGAAGCAATACACATACTAGATCACCATTCTTGTGTGTGTACTGCTTCCTTTCAGTAGCACTGGACTAGTCTATAAGCTCCTACTTTCTGAAATAAAGATGCTAAAAGATCTAGAATCAAAGAGACTCTGAAGTCCAGTTAGTAAAATAAGTATTTAATGAACCAACAATCAAATATGCCTATCATGCATAATTACCAATGTAATTAATTAGTTCCATAACAACCCTATGAGTTATGTATTATTATTATTACTATCCCATCTTACAGATAAGGAAATTAAGGTACAAGGAAGTTAAGGAACTCACTCAGGTTCACCAGCAGCTTTTTTTTTTTTTTTTTTTAAACTAGATCTTAATTTTGGATGGCTCACCCAACTATTAACTGGCAGAGCTAGGGTTTGAGCCCAAGCAATTCAGTAAAAAGGTTATACTCTTAACCACTATACTATGCTGCTTCTTCAGTATTTACACGATTCTCAAGAAGAAATAGTATATATATATATTTTTTTTTTTGAGACGGAATCTCGCTTTGTTGCCAGGCTAAAGTGCAGTGGTGTGATCTCGGCTCACTGAAACCCCCGCCTCCTGGGTTCAGGCGATTCTCCTGCCTCAGTCTCCCGAGTAGCTGGGACTACAGGCACGCATCACCATGCCCAGCTAATTTTTGTATTTTTAGTAGAGGCAGGGTTTCACCATGTTGGCCAGGAGGGTCTCGATATCTTGACCTCGTGATCCACCTGCCTCGGCCTCCCAAAAGTTCTGGGATTACAGGCGTGAGCCACCAAGCCCAGCCTGAAATAATTTCTTAAAAATGCCTAGCACAGTGCTTACATACATTTTAAGAAGCTAATAAATACTTGTTTTCTTCCAGAAATCTGGCAGGCAACAAATGTAAATTGAGACTTCAGTTCCAGTGAGAAGAAAATGGAAACGAAGATCTATTTTTAAAAGATACAAGTTAATGTCTTCTATACCATACTATACTATAAAATCTCTTCAGTGTCTAAAATGTAACCATGAAATTGAATTGAGGTATATACCTCAGTATGTAATATGACAAACACACTTCTATATTCTAAGAACAGTGAGAGGTCAGATAAGAAAACTATCATTATTTAATACTCATTAGTGTTATCTAATAACTCAATGGCAATGATGAAAACTGGTTATTTTTCCTGGGTTTACTAACAATTCTACATGTACGCTGAATGATCACAAAGTTTTAGAGGTTTCTCACCTCATTCAAGCACTTCTTGAAGTTCTGCAAGTTTCTATACCGGGGGCTTCATTTAACCCAGTTACCTAGCCTGACTTTGCATGTATGAAAATTAATTCTGAACTAAGATCTCTCCAGAAAAGATTTAATGAGAATTATACAGACAATTATCAGTTAGACTCAAGCACAAAGAGGAAAAGAATGGTTTCAGAGTTTATTAGAAATAGTAAAACACTTAGAACATAAGCATTTTCAAACGTTGATAGTCACAATCTTAGAGAGATCAAATACATAAGCAAATAAATACAATAGAATTTAATGAAGGACATGCTGCAGAAAAAAAGTAACAAAAATATGACTAGAGAACAAAAAAAGGTTAGTAAAAATTAAGTGTGGAAAATTATTTAGGGATACAATAATACATAGTTTTAATGCAGTAATTATACTTCAAACTCTCTTACCAGTGTCTGAAATGTAGGCATGAAGTTGTACTGAGTCATCAGAAGACACATTTGAAAGGTCATCTAAAGACTGAGAAAAAAAAACCGGAAACAAATTTTTAAAATTTTGTAGGAAAAAAAGTATCAAAGAATTCTACATCATATATGCATTACAATTACTCATTTCCATGCACGTAAACTATATATTATTTGTATACCCTCCATCCCCTCCACACACAATAATCTTTTCCATTTAGGCTAACAGAAAAAAAGCAAAGATTAAGAAACAATAAAACAAAATAATTCAGTAATAAACTTATTAGATTAGTTCTCCCTTAATTGCTTGTCCATCTACTGTAACTTGCTACTTTTCAATTATGGTCCTTATATGGCAAGAAAATCTGGATAAAAATAAGTAGACATATTCTTACGTTAACATTTATGTTGAAATATACTAGAACCAGCTCTGTATTTTTAGCTTAATACTTTTGTTAATATAGAAATAATTGTTATACTTAATTTAGATTCCTTATCTATAAAATGAGAATACTACCTAAGTCAGAGAATTATGTGAAGATTAAATAAGACATGTAAGACATTTAGAAAACTGCCTAATATAACAAATGTTAGCTATTATTCTGATTATTTATTAAATGAGGTAAATCCATAGACTATGATAGATTTTAAATCAGTTTTCAAAAACAATTCCACAAACATAAATGCCTATTGATTGACTCAAAACGAATCTTTTATAACTACTACGACCTTTGGGTCTAAACTTTAAAAATATTTTTGTCACGTATACATATATCCACACATACATAAAAAGGAATATAATCATATAATTAAAGCAGACTGCAGAGTTAACATAGCAGCCTGAAACTGCTCTGCCTAGAAAAGACTGCTTCCAAGGTTGTCCCCTGGATGGAATCTGGGAACTTAAATTTAGGGAAGATTCCCAGCATTCTCCAACCAGTAAGAGTGGTTTACCATACCTAAACTATCTATATAAGAAATGTTTATGCTGAACACCTGCTTTCCTTCTAGGAGTCTAGAATTTTGGTATGTGCTATGTAATCTGCCTCCAATAAAAAACCTGTACATTTAGTCTCCAATGAGTTTTCCTGATGGCAACATTTCACACGTGTTGTCTTGCTGATTTTGCTTTATAACCTTTCACAGTAAGAAATTCTAGCCATGAGTAAGACTATGGTGTGTCCTGTGAGTTTTCTTAGCAAATCACTAAGCCTGGAAGTGGTCTTGAGGGCACCTAACATATATAATCTAGACATATTTCATGTATTATTATTCACACATTTCACATATTCATAAAATTCAGATATATTTCACTCTTTAAAAATAATAGGATGTGAATGAGCTTTTGAGTCCTAATGTAATATTATTATTACTAAAACAGTCATCTAAATGACTTAAATGCAACCATCCATATGACACAGTCACTTAAATTAAGGCAACTGCATTCTAAGAAGAAGGCCAAAAATGTATCTACTAAAAACTGATTGTTAAGAGAAGTAAAATGTGATAATTCTATGCAGATAATCCACAAGACTTCCCTGGTCAACTCAAATGGCAAAGACATCAAATTAAATTAGATCTAGTCCATGCTCTACTATCAATACCTTAAGAGACTTTAACCATATCAACTACTTTCTTGGATTTCAGTTTTCCCAATGGTAAAATGGGGCTAATACCTACTCTACATCACTGTCAGGACACACTGTGAATGAAAATGCTTTGGGGGGAAAAAAAAAAAAAAAAAAAAAAGGATGCATTTATTTTTATGTGCTCAAGAAATCATTTTGATAGAAATACTACAACCTTTGCTTCAATATTTTTATGTGAAAGATAGAAGACTCAGAGGAAATGGAATATTCTACCAAATTTATATTTTCTACTATAACTTCTTCTAATTATAAGCCAGCACAGGTAACATAAAATAATCTATTTTTTTTTTTAAAAAAGCATTATTAATAATGGTAACCTTCCCTTGTAAACATTTAAAAAGGTAAATATACTTATCTCTTTAAACATGTTAGCATCTCATACTATGCAATCCAAAAGTTGTTAAAAAGGCTTTGTGGAGAAATGTCTTTTTATCTCTTTTAAAATATGCAATTAGTAAATATTGTTTTCATTACATATGATGAAAACTTTGGAAAAATATTAGTTACAGTTACAATGCACGTAAATATCAAATGGACTATAAAGTTACAATTGGTAAAGTAATATTTACAAAACTACACTTGATTTAGAAATGTAGCAAAAGAGAATTGTGATTTCAAAACAAGTACATTAATGCTATATTGAAATAAGCACAATTTGCAGAGTACTCCTTAAGTTATGATTCTTAAACTCCTTGTAAGAAAGTGCTTTTTAACACTAAGACAAAAATTGAAAATTCAAATTTACGATGATAGTCATCAAACACAACGAAAATGGCACTAAATGCTTGTAACTTACCTACCAAGCTACCAATGGCAAAATGAGTACAATACCAAACACATTAAATATCTCCTTTGTTTAGTATACTGGAATAAACTATCGTGATCTAGTTTATAATCTTAAGCTATTTTTAAAACGCAGATATTCACTAAAATTTGTCTACATGGTCCAACTACTTAAAAGTATGAATCAAATAGATTTATGGGAATAATAAAATACTCCAAGTCATTGACTTCAAGAATGACCTTCTTTTTATCCAGAGACCATTCTGGTTTATACTACCATGTGACAAAGGAGACTTATCTTATTTGGAAAAGCATTTATTCCAGACATGGAATAAAGAAAAAAAAAAAAATTTAGTAGTGTTTAAATATTTACACAAGCACTACAAATGTGAATACTAAAAACTTTCAAACCAAGGAAGGGTTTCATCACATTTGGAAACTTTTCTATATAATGAACATTATTTTTAACACTTCCTTCAAGTTCTAGGAGCAATTCCTTTTTGTTTAAAGCTCTGGACTACAACAAGTAAATGGTAATAATACCAAATGATTTAGGAAATATTTTAAAAGTTACAAAGTATCAGACAATTCCACAACAGATCTGCTTTAGTGTTTTACTAAAGGTTATAATACAGTAACAGAACATTTACTCAATAAGGTTATTTTAGAAGTAAACATAAGACAACTAACCTCTAAAACATTTAGCTATTACGAAAGGTCTAAAAGAAAAAGTAATGCAGGTAGGAGGAAAAACAAAACAAATAACACCTTACCTGTTTTTCCCCCTCCCCAACCCAGCCAAACTGGACTGAAACCTTCATAGAACACTAATATTTCCTCCTAACAGCATCTTAGGAAATAAGTTATTCAATGGCAAGGTTGGATATATAAGAGAACTAAAATGTTCATTATTTTACACTGTACCATGAATATATAAAATGCCAATGACAGTTGAGATTCTAAAAACATGTCATTCTAACTTCCAATCATTAAGGATGTAGTTGCTGTAAAACTGTCTAAACTTAACAAAAAATTTTTTTTGTTTACAACGACCTGAATTTGTTTTGGTGTAGACTATAAGAAACATCTATTTGGTTTTGGTTATCCTCACCAGTTTTATATTTCTTTCTAAATACAAGAGGAGAAAAAAACTGATTCCAATATAAACATTTATGTGTCACAAACTGACTGCCTATCATAGCAATTTAGTAATCATAATTTAAACATGCTAAATATTGGAATTAAAAATAATGAAATCAATTTTTTACAAAATGCACAAAAGCAATTATGCAGGTGTAACCTAAACCAATTTTTTAAATAAAGATAAAATATAATTTTTAAGTTCTAATTCATATATGCCTTATATGTGAACTTAGCATTTCTTTAAAAGCATAATAACTTTTTACAACACTAAATTATGATTTGGGGCCTTCTTTATATATCATTGATTTACATATGTTAAGGCTCAGCCTTTTACATTATTTTCAAGTCACTTTAATAAAGTACCCATAATAGTACTTACCAAATTTATGCTTCCTGTAGGAGACCCATTAAAAGATTCTGCAGGGGGGAAATTCAACTTAGTATACAGCAAAAAACTTTAAAACGGTTGCTTTATCTAAGGTTCAAACACCAAGAATGAAAATCACATAAGCCAAGATATAACATAATAGTAAAAAAATAAAATAAAAAATAAAAAAATAAAATTGTGGAATACTCCCAAAAACTTGATCCCTTAAAGTTCTATGGTTTTCTAAGCCAGGCATTTAAGTGACAATATGGTATGTACCTGAGAGCTGGCCAAAAATCAAAAAGGCATTAGTGTTCAGGAGAGTAATTATTAAATGTTTTTATTCTCACAGTATCAAATAAGTTGCCTAATACAATATAAGCATGAGGAAAACACTGCAGAATGAGGCCCATTAGGAAACATCAGCACTATTCTGTAACTTCTGTCTCACTGGATTAAGAAAGATTACAAATAAAATCAGTCTGTAGTGTGAGGGAGAAACAGACTTATTTTTAATAGGTCTATTAGTCCTCTTATTCTTGGTGGTAGATTTTCTTGAAAATACTGGAAGTCCAGATTTTTAAATCAATATATAACTAATAGACAAAAAGACACTTAAAACTGCTTATGCAATTCCATTTAATTAAAAACTGGGAAAAATTAATGTTAGAGAGTAAGTCAATTTTAGATTACTAGTAAACATTAATATCAAGCAATAATCTTTTCCCTTAGGGTTTTATTATAAATCTAAGAAAATTAAGTTATCAATTAAGGTGTTTCTTTATTAAACACATAAACAAATCTATGGTAAAGCAATATTCATACACAGTTTAATATATGGTTTCTAGCACTTAAGAGGTTATTTATGAATTTGGTTCTCTAAATGGGTCTTCAAAAAAGCAAGACTATTATTTCTACAAGGAGGCAGCTGATACTGCCTTCCAAATTTACTCTAAATGCTCAAGAACATTTCTTGGTTCTTCAGCCCTTTGGGTCATAAAAAAAAATGGGAATTTCAACTAGGATTATCCCTTGGTGATACTTAAAATGAGTAAAATAGTTCTCTGTCCTCCTTATTCAATTATATGCCTCCTACCTCTTCTGTAGTCTGCCCACCTCTTAAATCTTCCCACCAAAGACAAGTCAAGTTAAAGGAGAATTTGGGATCAAAATAGGGCATAGTTTACTTTCTTGATCAACAATAAGAAGATCCAGAAATACAGTATAAAATCAATCTTGGTCGACATTTAATCAAGAATTGGATGACTACCTACAAATATTAGAAAACAAAAGAAAGCACTGTTCAACATGGTGAGAAAAACAATGTTGAGATTAAAACTTAAAAAGGAAAACATATTCATATAGTTTTAAAAGACTATGAAACTCTGTTGTAATAAAAGAGAAAATATCTATTTTTAAAATAATTTAATAACTAAAGAAAGTAATCATGAATAAACAGGGCAATGGATGAAATGAGGAGAAAAAGAGAGAAGAGAGATAGTAAGCACAAGAAAGCCAACCAGCTAATTCTCTACCTACTGTTAAGTTTAGTTAAATAGGAATGAAATTTCTACTCAAGCAAAGAAAAACCACCAGAGGATACAGTACTATACCATATGATATGACTTGGTCCATTAATTTTAGGCTCAAATGTAGACTACTTTTAAAAAAATCAGCTGCACATTAATCCCTAGATTAGATAATTATTTCAGAATGTCTAAAAGGTAGTCAAAATTTCAGAATGTCTAAAAAATGCATGTAGTGCTGAGCAGCTTAATTTTAAAAGTCAGAAAACTAATTTATAACAAAAAAACGTGGAAAGGCCTTTTTTTGATTAAATAATCATATAAAAAGAAGTATATCAGAAGCATTACTATTTGAGAAAGGTAAACCAGTAGCCTAAAACCTAACACTGACAAAGACAACAAAGCTGACAGTTATTGGCCCAGCGTCGTGGCTCACGCCTGTAATCCCAGCACTTTGGGAGGCCGAGGCAGGTAGATCATGAGGTTAGGAGATTGAGACCATCCTGGCTAACACAGTGAAACCCCATTTCTATTAAAAATACAAAAAATTAGCCAGGCGTGGTGGCGGGCGCCTGTAGTCCCAGCTACTCGGGAGGCTGAGGCAGGAGAATGGTGTGAACCCAGAAGGCGGAGCTTGCAGTGAGCCTAGATTGCGCCACTGCACCCGAGCCTGGGCGATGAGCAAGACTCCGTCTCAAAAAAAAAAAAACCTGACAGTTATTTTAAATAGTAATGTTTCATATCATACCCATCAGTCCACATACTTTTTTCAAATGGTTTCAAAAAAGGGATAATTTCACAGTATAAAACTCATCAATTAGGAAACAAAATATTAGACAGCAATGTCTTAGAAAGACAATAAGATATATAAGTATATAATCTCAAACTACAATCAATGATTCAAATGTGAGAAGTTACTCAATGATTGATATATGAGAAGCAAATTTACTTCAGATCAAAACCAGTTCCCCAAAAAAAAAAATTTAATATACTTCATGTTTCAAAAAAGTACAGTATATGATTTTAGGAAGTTTGAGATTTCTCATAGTTTGCTTCCAATAGCTGTACTGAAGAAGACAGACTGGTTGGAAAGATATCAATGGAAGCTAAAAGTCCATTTAAAAGACTAGAAACAGTTCTTAAATTATAGGATCAAAAATTACTTCCACAGAATATATTGCTACTATCACCAGTTTAAATTACATGTTACTTAGAAGCCCATACAATTAGTTGGTTATGACTTTGTCTTCTCCCTTTCTGAGTCATATAGCAAATCTACTTCACAAATACTAAGAAATTTCTAAAATAGATAAAATTAGTATAAACAACAAAAACTTTTATGATAGTCATTTTAGGATGGTTAGTTGACATAGAGTTGCTATTGCAAATTTCATATAGTATCTCTATAAAAGAACATTTTTCAACAGAGACAGTAAGTACAGATATATACAACAAACTAGAGGTACATAAAATTTTACTATTCAACTCACAGAGAAGAACTCTATTCTTTTTTTAAAAATTTCCATAATTATGCAATCAAAATCAGTTAATAGATTATTCCAATTGTACACAAAAGTAAACTTGAAAGAGTATTAATTTAAAAACCCAAGCCATCAGATAAACCATCAAAACAAAAGTTACTAAATTTCAAATATAAACTTAGGTAACTAGATTTCTTAGATTATTTAATAAACAAAATCTCACTAGTGTAGACAGAGGGATAGGAGGTGGAGGAGAAGGGAGACTGAAAGACTTCCATAATAGAGATATTTTTTTAAGCAGTGCTCACGACCTCGCTATTTTATCTCCATTCCCAAGTGTGCTTGTCCATAAAACCTGTTCATTAGTAAATGGTCATAACTGAAGCACTTTCTTAAAATACTTAAATCTTTCCCGTTTACTTTTTGTTGACCTCATTCATTTACTTGGTAGAACATACCAGAAAGATCATCAAACGTCAGATATTTAATTAGAGCTTAATAAATAATTCTGAATTGAATCACAAGTTAATGATCACTGGGCCTAAGAATTTGGAGACTTGTGTTCTAAAGACTATCCCTCCCACTATTCTTATATAACTCACTATTTACTAATAAAAATCGATACTTGTGTTTTACTTTATAAATCATTTTCAAATGCATAATTCCATTTAAATCTAACAATGACTAATGTAAGATATTATGAGGATATTGTTGCAGATTTACCAACTCAGAAAAATGAGGCTTGAAGAATTTAAGTACTTTGACAACACATAGGTAGTAAGTGGTAGAATGGGAGTAAAATCTAAACATTCTGACTCTTAAAACATGTTTTTCACTATAACATGTTAATAGGTCTCATTATCCTCATTTGAAAAAATTGAAGGTTGGAATAAATGACTCTTACAGCTTTTTCTAGCTCAAAAGTCTCTCACACTGTGTAGAATTTGGAAAAGTATACAATTAAAGATATTTAAAACTGTAGTTTTTTTATAATGCTTTATAGTTTATGATATACTGAGTCATTACTTATTGCATATTAAATCTTCTCAATAATTCTATTGTTAATCATGAATATTATTACTTACTCGCAAAAGGAAAACTGCCATAAAAAATATTTTAGTGATTCACCTGAAGAAAACACTCTTCTTTAAGAATTCAAGGTTTCTATAGTTATATTCTAAACCATTATTAAATTTTCAATATTTTAATTTAGTACAGTCACTAAATTTTGTCATTCATTTGTAGATTTTTAAATATATTACAGTTTATATTTGGACTCCAATAACATTTTTAACTTATATAAAAGCTCTTTTGGTAAGCAGAATATATACAAATATATATACATATATGTGTAAAATGGGTGCCACCTTACCTCCATCCCCATCATCGGATCCTCTGAAACTAGGATCTTTTAACATGTCAAGTTCAGCTAACATGCGCACATAAAGTGCATTCTGTCTGAAGGAAGGATAAAATCTTTCATCTCGTAGCATCAGTTCATATACCTTGGTGAAATAAATCAAGATAGTCAACAATTAATACAGGTATGTGGTGATTTTTACGAAATACAATTTCATCAAAAGACACACTGAGGTCTTGTCATAATGTATCATAGTTACACGCTGTCAGCAATAAGACTTTTTCACAACAAATGTTTTCCTCTGATCCCTCCAGTAACTAAATTATATTGAAAAAAAATCCTACTGCAACACAAGTCACAGACAGCATGTTCTGGGAAGTGTTTTCTGAGAAATAAGTACATGTAAAGGTTCAAGGCTCATGTTAATATCTAGTTCTACAATCAAATTCAAATAAAACAACCCAACTTAAGGATTTTCCTCAGAAAATAAACGAAATAAACAAAAATACTGGTTTACATTTCTGGAATTGAGAAGTATAATTGCCATAGCTTATCTTTTTAATACCACTCTACTTTTAAAAAGTTTTTAAAAACTAATTACATTACATAAAAGTATTTTTTCTCAAAAAAGATAAAATGATAAATGCTGTACGTAATAATACCTTCCTTTGAATGTCATCAAAGATTTCAGGGGTTGGATCTTCATGATTCAAAGTATCTGCTAATTTTGCTACTAAATAGTCATCAACAGTAACTCTTGGAGATGCCTAACAGAGAAAAATAATAGTAATGATCTCTGTAATTTCTTAATACAAGATGACACTTGATAGTATGATAATAATGGAATATAATATTGAAAATAACTGGCAGGTAAGAATCACTGGTTTGTAAATGACGCCTTGACATTTAAGAAGGATGAAACAGGACTAAATCCTTGTCTTCTTCATGTACTACATAGCAGACTTGTAAACAAACACGGATTTAAATCTCGACTTTTGCCTAACAAGTTATCTCTCACTATGCTTCATTTACCCCATCTGTAAAATGGAGATAATACTACATAAGGTTATTTAAGATTATTGTAAGGATTAAAAGAGATCTATATAAGATATATACCATAGTGTCTAGCACATAGGAAACACTGTCATTAGGAGTTAGTGTTTAGTATTCAGTAGTACTATATGTGTATTAATATGACTGATGAACAAATAAGTGATTTCATTTATTATTTGACACTAGAGAATCCTTTTGAATGTCCTTTAAAGAGACTACTGTTATCCTAAATTTGGTTTTATAACCAATGCTGCAGCAAAGTTCCAGTGTGATATGGGGAAAGAAATCCTTAAAATTAATTTGTTTTAAGAACTTCCATTTCAAAGCATATAGTAACACAGATAACACAAGGAAATACAAAATTTGACATTTCAACTTCAAAAATTACTTTATTAAAAGAAAAAATGCTGAAAAGCTAGACATGTCAACAGCTTCAGCACATCAACTTTTGCATTTTTAGTTTTGAAAAGTCTGGAGAGTAAATGAGCCCTAGAGACAACTTTTAGAGAAACTAACAAAAAATATTATTTACATAACTTCTCTAATTTATCCAATAAAATAAGGAACAGGTTGGATAAATCAAGAAAGGAGGAAAAAAAGTAAACATCAGGGTATAAATATGTAGGAAAAGGGCTATACAACTTCTAATGCCCCATTGTCAATTCGACACTTTTGTTAGTAAACCTAAGCAGGTTGTGTGGTTGCTGTTTTTCTGAGTGGGATGCTTATTTGTTTTGTGTTTTGGGGGGTAGCAGAGTTGCCCCGAAATAAAAACAGGAGAACTAAACAGCTTCGAGTATATAACAAATATTAGAGAGGAATATGATGTTACTTGGTTTTGCCCTTTCATCTGCCCTCTAAACTCACTAAACTCACTTTCTAGGAAATAAAAAGGGTGAATTTGAAAAATAATATTTTATGATTATTTAAACTTTACTTTTTCCTATATATCTCAAGTACACAGAATGGATTAAGCCACATCTTTGGTATAGGATGACCAACACTTCTAGTGTACCAACATGAAACACAACCAGTCAGGATCCCCTCTTCCAAAAAAAGTAACACAAAAATAATATTTATATGGCCAGGCATGGTGGCTCATGCTTGTAATCCCAACACTTCAGGAGGCCAAGGCAGGCGGATCACTCGAGGCCAGAAGTTTGAGAACAGCCTGGCCCACATAGCAAAAACCCTGTCTATCTAAAAAAATACAAACATTAGCTTGGTGTGGGTGCATGCCTGCAATCTCACCTGCTCGGGAGGCTGAGGCAAGAGAATTGCCTGAACCTGGGACGCAGAGAGTGCAGTGAGATTGTGCACTCCAAACTTTACGACAGAGTGAGACTCTGTCTCAAAAAACAAAACAAAACAACAACACAACAACAAAAAAGAAATATTTGTACACATGTTATTACTTTAACGTGAAAATATAAAAGTGAATGTTTTCCCAAAATTATCTCTTAATGTGTATTCTTTACTTTTCTATTACAGAAATGTGATTATTTAAACAAACCAATGGGACTAGCTAATAGTGGCAAATAATCTGTGTGAGACAAATACAACAATATGTAATTTACAATGTTTGTGACCTCTGATGTACCATTAAACCTTTTTTAAAATCTATTGGATACTTAAATGTTATAGGTTATATTGTTTTGTATTCTTAAAATATAGAAAGACTTTTTAAAAGGCAAATGTACATAAAAGCAGAATGTATGTGCAAAACAGGTATTATCTATATTTAACAAAAATAAATAATTACTTTTCTATCGAGTCCATGATGCAGTAGGATATTTTTGCTTTTTCTGTTTCCTTCTCTAATAATACTCTTCTGAACTGCCTGAAGCCTTTACGACATCTTTTTATGCAGTGTTACCACTGAATATAGTTAAACATAAAAATTCACCTTGATTTTTAGATCTGCTCTTTTCAAGCCCACCTCACATTTATTTCTTGTGTCAATCCAATGTGGGGATCAAGTTAAATAACCTTTCTTTAAAAAATTTTTTTAGAGACAGAATATCGCTCTGTTACCCAGGCTGGAACACAATCGTGTGATCATGGCTCAGTGCAGCCTTGATATCCTGGGATCAAGCCATCTTCCTGGCTCAGCCTCCCAAGTAGCTAAGAATACAGCCTTGTGCCACCAACTCCAGCTAATTTTTTCTTTTTCTTTTTGTAGATACAAGGTATTGCTATGTTGTCCATGCTGCTCTCCAACTCTTGGCCTCAAGCAATCCTCCCACCTTGGGCTCCCAAAGTACTGGGATTTCAGGTGTGAGCCACTGTGCCTAGCCTAAATATCCTTTCAACAAAATAATTTGGGCATGTAATAATTGGGATTTTATTTATTAAAAACAGGTTTTTAAATGTGTAGAAATTTGATTTTGGTGCTCAAAAAAAAGTCCAAAAACCATATATATGGCTTGTTTGGTAGGTATATCAATTGTTTGTCAATCAGGTCTTTCCCATCTATAAATTCATCACACAGGCTATCCACGCCTACAATGCTCATTTTTGAATACTTTGAAGCATAATGATGTTATCATAAGTTAAATCCCTTTATGAGGAAAAATGGTTTTTAAATAGACAAACTTTTGAAACTGAAGTTCAATTCCAGATAAATTAGTTTTAGTAAAGAAATTTAGAAAATCCTGTTTAAGTTGGCTTTTCTGGTGACACATTTTTTTTTTTTTTAAATATTCAAGTAGTCTTATTTCAAAAACAGGAGTCATTCTGTTAACTATATGAGTTTTTACCACAACCTACATGTAACATCAAACAACTCAGGTCAGTCTGTCAACTCTTCTCTAGGCTGCTTTTGGCCTCGTCAAAGATCACCTACCAATTTTAGAGAAACAGTATATAAATTTCTGTTTACTGTAATCCTTTTCTCCATTTTCATTTAAAAAGTATTTCAAATTAGAGAAAAACATTTTTTTGTCCTATACTTTAAAAAATATGATTTTACCACAGACCAAGATTTTAGCATTTTTTCTATAGCCAGCAAAAATTAGACCTAATTAAGTAAATTATCTTCTTTTCTATTTCTTGAGTTAGTGTGGCAATCTGTCTCTAAAAATTTGTCCACTTTAAGTTGTTTAATTTGTTGTCATAAAATTGATCACAGTATTTGCTTACTCCTTTTAATTTCTGTAGGGTCAGGGTTCATGTCTCCTCTTTCATTTATGAATTTGGTTATCTGTGTCTACTCCCATTTTTTCATGGCCAGTCTAGCTAAAGGTTTGTCAATATTGTTGATATTTTCAGAGAACCAACTTTTGGTTTTAGATTTTCACTATGGTTTTTCTGTTTTCTATTCACGATTCTCATAATAATCTTTGTTTTCCTTCTTCTGTTTGGCTTGGGTTTTTCATTTCTAGATTTTTAAGGTAAAAACTTAAGATTGTTGATTGTAGATCTTTTATCCTACACATTTTTAGAGCTACAAATATTCTTCTCATCACTAAGTAGCTGCATCTCATGAATTCTGATACAATGCATTTTCATTCTCAATTAAAAATACTTTCTAGTTTCCTTGTCACTTTTTGTTGACTCAGAGGCTATTTAGAAATATGTTGTTTAATTTTCGATTATTTGTAGTTTCCCCAAATTTCCTTTTGTTGATTTCTAATTTGATTCCATTCTGATCAAAGAATTATTCCAATACTTTTAAATGGAGATGACTTTTATGGCCTTGCAAATGATTTATCTGGGAAAATGTTTCATGTGTTCTGAAAAATAATGTGTATTTTGCTGTCATTAGAGGAAACAGTCTATAGAATAATATACATATATTATATGTATTACAGTATTACATATATTACATATTACATATATTACATATAATATATACATAAATTACAATATATTAGAATTATTATATTAGAATATTACATTAGAATAATACATGTATTCTATAAGTTCTAAAGCAATTCTATTCTATATATGTATTCTATACATTCTATAATAATCTATATAATTATATAAAATATACTCTAGACACTACAGATGTATTACATTCTACAGAATTATAGTATAGTATATATATTATTCTATAGGATTAAGTGAGTTATAATGTTCCTGAAGTCTTGTATATCCTTGATGTTTTTCTAATTGTTTTATCAATTATCGCAAGTGGGGTATTAAAGTTTCCAACTATAACTGTTGAATTGTCTCTCTAACCCTTCAATTCCGCAAATTTTTGTTTCATTCATTGGGGGGCTGTTATTAAATGTATATATGTTTAATACATACATTTAAACATATATACATTTTTAAAAAATATATATGTACTCTCTTTTTTTTTGCATGGTTTATCTTTTTCTATACTTTTACTTTCAGCCTGTGGTGAATCTAATATGCGACCTTGAATCTTGATTCTGTCATTTAGTATTTGCATGACTGTGGACATGATAATTTGACTGCCTAATCATCAGAATCTTCACTTAAACGAGGATACAGACAGACAGGAAGATTGTTATCGATTAAAGAAAACAATGTTTTTGAGGTAGTCAGCCTGGCATAAGCAATGGATTACAAAAATTATTAATAATACTGATAAAGAAGAAAACAGTAATCAAAATAAACTCTCACCTTTTCTGATAAATACTGTTCATAAATTCCAACAGCAGCTGCTCTTAAAAGACCTTTGGTTTGGTTAGTTTGATGTTTTCCATCTCTCTGACGACTTAATAAAACTTCTAGCTGCTGTTGGGCGGTAACCCGGTATCCTTCCACTGTCATCCAAAAGAATAGATGTGCTTGACCTCCAGTTTGCTGCATGTAATCTACCAATCAAAAATCCATAATAACATAAATATTAGTGTCACACAATTTGGGGTCCATGTAGTTGTATGACAAGTAAAGAAGGATTAAAGTTTCAAGTGTTTAAAACTCCACATTTTGAAAATGTTTTAGCAAATCCCTGAGGTGAAAATATAGTTGTAAATTAGTTATGCTAAAAAAAACAGTGATGTTAAAAACAAAAGTGAAGGAATATATTTCATAATTTTTTAAATCCCACTTTTCATGATAAAATCTCTAGTGAATAAATTTGTTACATAAAACATTCAACATTTGTTCTCAATAAAGACTGTTATAATATGAATATTTCTAGACATATTTTTTAAAATGACTCAACAAACCACATATTTATATTTTTATCACAAAAATGAAAATGTATAGAGGTTTACTGAAAATGTCCTCCAGATAAAAGCAATTCTAATGTAATAGTAGTAAAATCTAAATTAAAAATATATATATTAAAATGGTATAAAAACAAAATCCTTTATGTACACATGAACAAAAATGATACAAACAGGTTTTATACATTGTATGTTCCCAATAAAGTACTCTTTCTTAATGAATTTTAATTTGCATTAGAATCTCCTAGAATTTATTTTAAAAGCAGTTTGGTAAATGCACATTAGTTTTGATAACTATTTCCTTCAAAACAAAATAAAGCTCTACCTCCATGGTTTCTAAAGAAAAACATTTCAGAGAATAAAGAGAGGACTGAATTTGGCACACAAAATATTAACTACTGAAAATTTAATAATATTTAAAATTCTTAAAAATTTCAAAGAAGATGTGGGAGTGTGAAACACCAGAATTCTCTCTCTCCACCTCCACAGCAAGTGCAATGGCAGAATCTGATGTAACTAATTTGGAACTCTGGAATCTACTGAAGATTTGCAATATTTAGGGGAAGGCTTGGGGAGTAAGCTTTGGTTAATTTCAGTTCATTTCAGCTGCAGCACCACTGCAGCTACCCATTCCCCACTCCCAGACCCCTAGAACAAGTAGCTATGCATGCACTCCAGAATTAGCTTGTACACAGCAAGCAAGCGGACAAAAAACAACTTCTCCTTCAAATATTCAGAATCTAGGCTCTGACAGCACACTGCTGCTTCTGATCACAGAGGTGCACACAAATAGACAGCCTTTGTTGTTGCATATCTCTTGATTGGTCCAAGCCCCTTTACTTCCTGCTGAAGTAACGAGCAAGGTATTTAGAAGACTGGCACCCTTTCTCCCTTGACTCCCACAGTTTTATCTTTTTCTCCCTTTGGGAGCCATGCATTAAAAATGAGGACATCCAAAAGCAACCACATATGTGGGAAAATTAGAAAGTGACTATACCTGCCCAGGGAAAAGCACAAGCTCAGAATAGTCTTGAGAAGACTTTAAGCTTATACCTCAGGCTGATCCTTAGCATAGACAGCCTACATATTAAAAATAAAAACAGTAACAACAATAAAGAACAGCAAACCCTAAGGAAAGGGAAGAAAGTGATTTCCAGAGTTACTACATTACTAGATTCAAATAGCTAGTTATTCATACACACACACACACACACACACACACACACACACACCCCACAAGGCACACGAAGTATGTGGCAAGTGTGGCCCATTCAAAGAGGAAAAAAAGTCAACATACATCAACAGAAACTGTCCCCAAAAAAGACCTGATGGAATATCTACTAGAAGAAGATTTTAAAATTGCCTTAAAGATGCCCAAAAGACTAAAGAAGGATGTAAAGAAAGTCAAGAAAACAATCTATGAACAAAACGGAAAGATCAATAAAGAGATAGAAAACCTAGAAGAAACCAAAATAAAATGATGGAGGTGAAAAGTACATAACTAAAATAAAAAATGCACTAAAGGAAATTTAAGGTAGATTTGAGCAGGCAGAGGAATCAGCAAATGTAAGGATAGAATAATAAAAGTTGTAGATTCGAGAAACAGAATGTAAAAATATAAAGAAGAGTAAACAGAGCCTAAGGTACCTGCAGGACCAAGTTACATGTGGGAGTTGTATAAAGAGAAGACAGACAGAAACAGTCAGATCATATTTGAAGAAATAAGTGAAAATTTCCCAAATTTGAAGAAAGGCATGAATATAAATATCCAAAAAGCTCAACAATCTCCAACTAAGATGAATTCAAAGATATCCACATGGAGACACATTATAATTCAACTTTCAAAATATAAATCATCCGAAAGCAGAAAAAGAAAAACAACACATATAAAAAACCCAAAAGATTATCAGCGGATTTCTTTCAAGAAACTCTGGAGGCCAGAAGGTGATGGAGTGATATTCAAAGTGCTAAGAGAAAAATATTGTCAACCAAGTTCCTATATCTGACAAAACTATACTTCACAACGAGAGAGAAGTAAGGATTCACAGATAAACAAAAGCAAAGGAAGCATCTTACCATAAGACCTGCCTTGCAAAATGTGCTGAAGGGTAAATTAAACGAATGGACACTAGATAGTAACTTAGTACCTTGAAATCATATGAAGAAATAAATTTCTCAGTAAAAATAAAAATATGGGCAATTATAAAAGCTAGTATTACTAACAATGATTTGTAACTCTATTTTTTTTTGTTTTCTATGTGACTGGAAAGACGAATATGGTTTTTAAAAAATTAACTATCAATCTGAAAGCCAGAAATATTGTACATTGTTACTGCACATCTTGGTTTCCACATAATTTACAAAAGTAACTCATTTAAATAAGAACTATTAGTTCATATTTTGAACACACAATTTGTAAAGACTTAGTTTTGTGACATCATCAAAAGAGGGATAGTGACAGAGCTGTAAAGGAGCAAAGTTTTGACTGCATTTGAAATTAAGCTGATATAATTTCAAATTACAGTGTTATAAATTTAGGATGTTACATGTAATCCCCATAGTAACCACAAAAAAATAGCTACATAATATACATGAGAGGAATTAGAAATTTAAACATGTTACTACAAGAAATCAACTAAATACAAAAGAAGTCAGTTATGTAGAAAATGACTATCAAAAAATATATAAAGCATGTAGAAAACAAGTAACAAGATGACAGAAGTCTTTCCTTATTAATAATTACTTTAAATGTAAATAGATTAAACTTTCTAATCAAAAGACAGAGACTGGCAGAATGGATTAAAAAAATCAATCCAATGATATACTGTCTACAAAGATTTTAGATACAAAGACATAAATAAATTGAAAGTGAAAGGATGAAAAATCACATCACATGCAAACAGCAACCAAAATAGAGCAGGGGAAGCTATACTAGTATCAGGAAAAATAGACTTTAAATCAAAAAAGGTTAAGATATAAATAAGGTTATTATATATTAATAAAAGATTCAGCATAACAAAATGATACAACAATTATAAACATTTTCATACCTAGTAACAGATCATCAAAGTATATGAAACAAAAACAGACATATTTGAAGGGAAAAAGAGATAGTGCCACAATCATAGTTTGAGATTTCAATGCCCCACTCTCAGTAACGGATAGAACTAGACAGAAGATGAGTATGGAAATAGAGGACTTAACACAATATAACAGGTAGATTTAACAAACATACAGAACACTTTCCAACAACAGCATACAGCTTCTTCTCAGGTACACATGGAACATTTTCTAAAACAGACCATACAGTGGGCCACAAATTGAATCTCATAAAGTTTTTAAAAATGGATATCGTGCAAAGTATCTTCTCCAACTACAATGGGATAAAATTATAAATCAGTAACAAAATTAAAACTGGAAAACTCATGTATTTTTGGAAATCAAACAACACACTTTTTATTTACCCTACTTATCCTTTGAAAACATGAAAACACACTCACACAACCAATAGATCAAAGAAGAAATCACAAGAGAAATTAGAAAATACATAAAGATTAATTAAAACAAACATAACATACCAAACTAATGGGACACAGCAAAAAGGAAAATATCAAATCATCTTTCCTTACGTTGTAAAGCTTTCTAACTGTATAATGTAAGGAAATAGAAAAAGAACAAATTAAACCCAAAGCTAGCAGAAGGAAAGAAACAGTAAAGATTACAGCAGAGATAAAAGAGAGAACAGAAAAATTAGTAAAAGTCAATGAAAGCAATAGTTGATTCTTTGAAAAGAGTGACAAAATTGACAAACATTTATCTAGGAGGACAAAAAGGGAAAAGACTAAAATTACTAAAATTGCAAGTGAAAGTGAGGATATTACTAATGACTCTACAAAACTAAAAGTACTATGAACAACTGTACGCCAATAAATCGGATATCCTAGTGGAAATGGAAAAATTCCTAGAACACAGAAAATCTACCAAGACTAAATCATGAAGAAATTGAAAATCTGAGGAGACTGATAAGTAGTAAGGAGATTGAATCAGTAACCAAAAATCCTCAATAAAGAAAAGACCTGGACCTGAATAGCTTTACTGGTGAATTCTATCAAATACTTAAAGAAAAAGTAACACCAATCCTTTTTAAATTTTTCCAAAAAATTAAACAGGAAACACTTCCTAACTCATTCTATGAGGCCAGCATTATTCTGAAAACAGAGCCAGATAAAGATAGTACAAGAAAACTACAGACCAATGTTCCTTATAAATATTGATGTAAAAATCCTCAATAAAATACTAGCAAAACAAATTCAGCAGCATATTAGAGATTATACACCATGACTAAGGTAGCATTTATTCCTGGAATCCAAAGATGGTTGAACACACACACACAAAAAATCAATGTAATACAGCACAACAGAATGAAGGATAAACACCACATATCTTAATTGATGCACAAAAAGCATTTCACAAAATTCCACACTTTCATGACAAAAAGACTCAATAAACTAGGAACAGAAGGCTACTACCTCAAAATAATAAAAGCTGTATATGAAAAAGCTCACAGTGAATATTATACTCAATGATGAAAGACAGAATACTTTTCTTTAAGATCAGGAACAAACAAAGATGCCTGCGTTTGCCACTTCTGTTCAACGTAGTACTGGAAGTACTAGGCAGAGAAATTAGGAAAAGTGGAGGGACGGGAGAAGAGGTAAAGGGAGAAGCGAGTGTGTGCACGTGTACACACACACACACGAATATTATTCAGCATTAAAAAGGAAGGAAATTCTCACATATGCTGTAACATGGATAAAACTTGAGGGCATATTCATGTTAAGTGAGTAAGCCAGTCACAAAAAGGCAAACACTGTACAATTCGACCTACATGAGGTACTTAAGAGTAGTCAAAATCATAGAGACAGAAAGCAGAATGGGTTGCAGGGGTTGAGGGTGTGGGGAATGGAGAGAGTTGGTGTTGAATGAGTAGAGTGTCAGTTTTGGAAGATAAAAATAACTCTGGATATTGATGGTTGTAATCTCTGTACAACATCATGAATACATTTAATATCACTGAACTATACACTTAAAAATAGTTGAGATACTAAATTTTATGTGTATTTTACCACAATAAAAAATGGAAAAAGAAATTCAATGGCTATATCATTTAAACAGAATTGATCCACCTACCCATAAAAAATTGTAGTGCAACATTGTCTACAAGAATGCTGTCCAGGGGGACTGTGCAAAGTTTCCCAAAGTTTGCTGCAAGTTTCACAGTATTTATTTCCTACAGGCAAAAGTGAATATAAGTTAATATTTTATCTAATCATTCATTGTTAAAGATGTTTACATAAATATAAGGAAAAAAATCAGGCTAAAATGGAGTAAAGATGAAGTTCTTCCCTTCTCATGCATGTTGTTTCCCAATAGATATACATTCTGTGAATTTAAATTCCAAGTGTCACTTAGCAAATTAAAAATATTAACACATTAAAAATATTAGCATTCAACTCTTTCAATATAAAATAAATAGAAATCACTATATTTTCAATTATTCTCTCTCTATATATATTCCAAATGAAAATGAACATTCCAGAGGCCAAAAGGGTGAAGGAAATGTTTAATATATGCAAGAATTTTTAAAACTCAACATTTTCATGTATAAAGTCTATTTATTACTAGGAAAACAAAATATGCCTAAAGAGTAATTTTGCTCCTAACTCAATAAAAATCTCTAATTATTACAGAAAATGTGTTTTTTTTCCAGACTCTCTAAACAGTGAATTTCAGACATACTTTTCAAAGTCATAGAGCAAGGAAACAACCTACATATGAAAAAAAAAAAGGAAAAGTTGGGTTTAAAATTTAAAGAGCATCTACGTATCAGGCATTGTGTTAGTTACATTACACATATTACTTCATTTAATCTGCACAGCAATACTGTTGGATATGTATCACCAAGCCTACTTAACAGATAAGGAAAACGAAGATGAAAAAGGTTGCCTATTAAGTCACAAAGCCGGTAAGTATGACTATGTGTTTTCAAATGCTGCTGCCCTTTCCATAACAGCCATAATGTTTCTATGAATTATTCATTTTCACTGGCTTCTCTATATTCCCAAATCCATATTTCAGAACCCTCTATTTAAAAAAGAAAAATAGGCAGGTTTACTGTAAATGAAGTAGGCTGCCATATTCAGAGGCAGATACTAAATTAAGCAGAAGTGGTAAATAAAGGAAAATGAAGAGAATTTAAAAAGAAAAACAAATCCATCTCTATAATTTGTATTTTCCTTCATGTAAGTACTGAATAATAACAGCGAATTGACTTTCAAAGTCCGGTAGAGAGCAATCTAGAGGCAGCACATGATTTCTAATAAGTCTCCCTTCTTCAAATTGTATCACCTCTTTATCCTGCCCAGCAGCGGCTCCACAGATACAGGATGGGAAGGAAAATTCACTGAGGATAAAGGTTTCTAGGATTTCAAGATAAGTAACATAGCTATGTAACTGCAAATCCGTGGGGATTCTGAGTTTATTTACAAAGGAAAACATTGTATGATCTGAGCTCATTAAAAAATAAAAGCTTGTATTCAAAATGGAATTGACAGGCTTGCAAACAAAATATCTAAATTTTAAAAGGATTCAATATCAAAAAGTGCCTGGGAAAAAACACTGAGTAATGACACTGAAAGATCACTACCTCTGAGATCTAGATAAGGAAGTAAAGAAAAGCACAAGTGAAACTGTATCTTTTTTCTATGCTAATTTGCATGAGTATATAAACTAGTTTTAAAATATAGTTAACCAAAACAAAGGTACACACACACACACACACACAACAAATATGGCCCTCAAGTAATGTTTCTTAAGTTACAATTCATCTAGAAAACTAAATTTAACATGTTTTGTTGTTTGTTTTTTTGAGACGGAGTTTCGCTCTTGTTGCCTAGGCTGGAGTGCAATGGCATGATCTCGGCTCGCCGCAACCTCCACCTCCCAGGTTCAAGTGATTCTCCTGCCTCAGCCTCCCGAGTAGCTGGGATTGCAGGCATGTGCCACCACGGTTTTTAAAAATAATTCTTCTATTCCTTAAGGAATTTAAATACACTGTAAAATTTTAAGACCAGAGAGTCATAAATAAATTTTCAAAACAGAAAACTACAGCAAAAATGTGACCTCATTAAAAACCTAAGGGTATTAAGAAATGCTTTTTCCTGTTTTAAAGCCCCAAATCTCTGCTCTCCTTTAGGGCAAAACTTCTCTAAAGAGCAACTATCATTACTGTTTCTAATTTACCTCTTCTCATTCTCTCATGGACGAACTCCAACTAAGATTTTCTCCACTACTCCACAAAAAAATGTTCTCATTAGATCACCAATAATCCGGAAGGTAGTAAGTCCACTGATCAATTCTCAGTCTTCATCTTTCTCCATGTTATCCTTTGATACACCTCATCTTTCCCTTTTATAAACACTTTTTGCATTTGGCTTCTGAGATATTGATAGGGACAGGGTGCACAAAATTCTAGGCAGAAAAGGGCGGTCCCTAGCGAAACACCACCCTCAAGCCAAAAAGCCTGAGACCGGAGCCCTAAGTGAAAACTTACATCCCTGTTTTCTTGCTCAAATGTTGCCTTTTCCTAAACCGCCCATGGCCGCACACCACCCCATTCTGTGCCTATAAAAACCCCAGACTCAGTTGATAGCCAGGACTACGGCTGGATATTGGAGAGAAGCGACTGGACTTCAAAGGGACAGCTTGATGGCATAACTTCAGAAAGAATCCAAATGGAGACAGTCGGACTTCAGGGGAAGATTACCTACCCGCCCCATTCCCCTTTTCAGCTCCCCTTCCCACTGAGAGCCACTTTCATCGGCCATAAAATCTCCAGCATTTACCATCTTTCAACTCATTCATGCAACTTCATTTTTCCTGGACGCCGAATAAGAGCTCAGAAGCCACGAGTGCAGACACAAAAGGCTGTCTCACTGGCCCTTTGCCCTCACCAGCGGAGGGCAGCTGCCTCATGCAAAAAGGCAAATGGTCCACTGAGCTGTTAACCCTTAAGCCATCCACAGACAGCAGAGCTAAGAGAGCACTGTCACACACCTTCTGGGGCTTTGGGAGTCACAGGCACCTCCAACTGGACAGCTGTAGGGCCTGAACAGGGTTTGCTCTTGCCAGCACTAATGCATCTGGCTAGTTCCTCCACCCACTCACTTGTGCACTCCCTGTTGTGAGGGGTGGCAGTGGGTCCGAGTGAGTGGAGTTTGATCTCGCCAGTACCGAAGTGGCAGGCTTGTTCCAGCACTCCTTCACTCAAGTTCTCACTCGTTTGCTTGCACGCTCCCCACCACAAGAAGTTGAGAATGGCAGGATGAGTAAACAAGGCACCCCTGCTGCAAGTTCTGCGAAGGGGTCAGGGAAATATCCTGCTTCAATATCACAAGCTCAGGTTTTCCTCCAATCTCACTGGCTATTTACTCTGTTTCTTTGGCTAGACTCTTTACTTTGTCTTAAACTCTATTCACTGAAGTGTAGTAGGACCAAGTCACCAATGCATTCCTACTTACACACGCTCTTTTAGATAACATCATCCAGTCTCTCATTAAACATCTGATAATTGTTGAGAATTTACAAAATTCGTCTCCATCACTAACTTTTCCTTAGAACTCAAGATTACCAAGTAGCATGTCTACCTGAATGTCAAACAGGGATATCAAATTAAAATACCCAAAACCCAATTCTCTTTTCCAAACCTCCTCCTCTCTCTGTTACCCAATTCAGTAAACAGCACCACTATTTATACAGTTGCTCAAACCAAAATACCCTGAAATTGTCCTTGAGTTATTTTTTTTTCTTTATCACCCCATATTCACTCCATTAAGAAAATCCTACTAGCACTATATCCAGTCTCTAATCGCTTCTCACAACCTCCATAGACATCTCTTACCTAGTTTTAAATCAGGAGTATAGCAAATAATCTTTCAGTTTCCATTCTTACCCACATCATCTCACACTTTGTGTCTATTCTTCACAAAGAATAAAGACAATAATTTTAACTTTTAGCTCGTAAGTCAGGTAATGTCACTTGCCAGGGCAAATCTCCAATTGACTTTCATCATAATTAGAATAAAACTCTTACTATGGCCAGTAAGACCATATATGACCATATAAGATCTAACCCCCCGGTTCTTCTATGACTTCATTCCTAGCACAATAGCTCATTCATTCCATACCAATCACAACGACCTCCTCCAATTCACCAAAGACATTCTTACCTTAGTGCTCCTGCATCTGCTCTCATGACTGCCTGTAAGATCGATACTTCAAAGGCAAACAAAAATACAGCACAGGACTAACTGCCTCATGTTATTTAGATCTCACTACGATCAAGTGTCATCAAACCTCTCAGCACCTATCTAAACCAGTCCAAGACATTTTCTATACGCTACTTTGCTTTATTACTGTTTTTTCGCAGTAGATATCACCACCTGATATTATGCATCAGTTTGCTTATTGATTTATTTCCTGACTCTGCAACTAAAATGTAAACTCCATGAAAAGAGTTTGTCTACTTGGCTCTTCTAAAAAGCACCCAACTCACAAAACTGAATAAATGCAAATTTTGAATAAACAAACGATACCCAAGTAAATGCATAAATAAATCAAGGAATAAAATAAAATCTTCAATTACTTTAACATTTTTCAGGCAGCGCTTCAGTTAACCTTTTTGGCATGTTTTAACAAATATTTATATCACATTGTCGAAAAGAAAACTCTTTTTAAAGTCCTCTTGTAAAGTGCTGCACTGGGAAATGTCCTACTTTTTGTCCTTTACTGTGCATTTTAATCCCTATAAAGTATTTATAACTAAACATTAATTCAAAAGTACTTTACTTACTTTGCCTGACTGCAATCGCTGTATTCTTGAGTCACATACCTTCTTTACGAATAGTAAGCTATTTATTTGATTTTTGATAGTGTTGATATCTAAAAGCAAACAAATCATGAACTAGAAAGTGGTAATTTTATTAAATACTTTAAACATGCACTTACTGTAATTTAACAAAATAACCAACAATACAGCAATTGTTTTATTCAATAAAAGAAACCATCTGAAATTATACAGTGAAATTATTTAATTAAAAGTAAACCATGCCAATTACCTCCACTCTAGGGATAATTACAATAATCAGATTCTCACATTCTGAAAATAATGCTTTTACTCTAACTAAGCACATGTTAATCTAATAAGGAAGATTTAATTAAAGTGAAAACATTAATAGCAGAAAATGACATTTAGGTAAATTAACCAAAGTTTTGAAGATATAATAATCCTTCAAAAAAATACTTTAAATTAAATACATTACTTACCATCACCAGCTGTATCTAGAGATCTAAGATACTGTAATTCTTCTGCTGCCTTATCTCTGACTGCTTCTAGCTCTCCAATATTGTCACTCAATTTAATAATGTTCATAAAGGCCTCATAGTTGCAGTTAGAATCACGGATCTGAAAACAAGTTTAAGAAAAATAGGTGAAAGAGGAACTCACTTATTAAAAGGAAAACTGAATCCTGAGTGCCTACTATGTGCTAGGACAATTTGCTGCATACTCAGTGCTTACAACAAAAAGAAAAAAGCTCTGTATTTGGGCACCTATATTTGGGCACCAATGGTTCTTAGACTGCAAATAAAATAAAGTAAGTATTATATAGCATGCTTGAAACTGCAGGAATAGGAATATGCTCACAATATTTGATGATAGCAAAGAAGCCATGATGACTGGAAATAAACCAAAGACAAGCTGAGCAGAAGATACGGTCAGCAGCAATGGACGGCAAATCTTCTGTTATAGTATAGAGGTTTTAGCTTTCACTCTGAAGCAAGTCAGAAGTTAAACTGGAAGGTTTAAACAGAAGAGTAACACTCTCTAACCTAAAATATAACACAATCGCTGTGTTGCTGTATAAAAATAAAGGCAGAGCCAAAAACACAAAAAAAGACCAGTTAATAATACAAGTGAAAGAGAATATAGTCAGGGAGCAGGGTGGTGACAGTGGTGGTGTGGTACAAAGTGTTTTATAAAGTGTTTTCTGGTAAGAAGTGTTTTGTAAAAACAATGCCAAAAGAATTTGCTGATAAATCAGATATGGCCATGAAATGAAGAGAACATAGAACTACACTAACATCGTTGGCCTGACAACTGGAATAGTGGAGTTACCACTAAACAAGACGGAGAAAAAAATTAAGAGATGCAGCATTTGCCAGGGATAGTGGCGGGGAGGCAAAATATTATGAGGGTGTTTTTGGCAAAATTAAGTGTGAGATCTCATTAAATATAAAAATGGTCATTAGCATGCTTTTGAATATGATGGACAAGAGTTCCGAAAGGAGGACTACACAGAAATACGCATTTAAAAGTCATTGACATGGAGATGACACTTAAAACCATGAACATGGATGGAAATAATCAAGAGAATGAGGGTAGAGTAAAAAAAGGAGAGATCTAAGGACAGATACTCAGAAGATTTACTTACACAGCAAAAAGACTGAGAAAGGCCAAAAACGTAGAAAAAAAAAAATCAACAAACTTTGGTGTTCTAACAAGCCAAGTAAAGAAGTGTTTTTAAAAAATGATGGCTGGGTGCAGTGCTTGTAATCGCAGCACTTTGGTAGGCCAAGGCGGGCGGATCACCTTAAGTCAGGAGTTCGAGATCAGACTGGCCAACATGGTGAAACCCCGTCCCTACTAAAAATACAAAAATTAGCTGGGCATGGTGGTAGGTGCCTGTAATCCCAGCTACTTGGAAGGCTGAGGTGAGATAATCGCTTGGGCACAGGAGGCAGAGGTTGAAGTGAGCTGAGATCGTGCCACTGCACTCCACGTTGGGCGCCAGAGTGAGATTCTGTCTCAGAAAAGAAAAGAAAAAAAGAGAGGGAAAAATGTAGACAGCCAACAGTCAACCCTCTTATAAAGTTTTGCTGTAAAAAAAAATAAGCAGGAGAAAAGAGTACTGCCTAAAATGGAATGTAATATCAATGACTTGCTTCATCTCTTTTTTAAGATGAGAGAGATAATGACAAAGGTGTATGATAATAAGAATGATCATATAAAGAGTAAAAATGTGAAGGTACAGAGAGAAAGTGTAAAATTGCCAAAGCAATAAAATGAAATTGTCTAGAAGAAGTTGGTTACAATGCACACATAAAGGACTTGCTTTACCTAGATACATGGGTATTTCATCCACAGTAACAGAAGAAAATATAAAATATACATGCATAGATACAAGTTATGAATGTATGTGATAACAGGATATTACGAAACATCTCTTTTGATTTCCTCAATTTTTTCAGTGGAGTACTATGGTCATGAGCTAAGAGAAAAGATGTGAAAAAAATATGCTAAATGAAAGTGAAGGAAGTATAAAAGAGTTGATCAGAAGAGTGGAGCAGATAACATAACAGGAAAAATTTAATGATTGCAAGGCAAGAACGAATAAGGGCACAAATGAGATTTGTGCTCATGAATTTAAAATCAGACCAGTGTAGGTTTCTTTTTTTCCATCAGCCACATTCACCTGCTTAAAAATAGGAATGGAGAAGCAGTTATGTTGGATTTAACCAGTGTTGTAGTGTCAATAAGCAAAGAGGTAAAGAAGTCAGGATGTTGTGGAGGTATTAATAACTATGACTGTAAATAAAATTTAAACTAAGCAAAGCAAGAAGAGTGGCCTGTGAAAAGGTAATAGACTTGAGATGTTATCTATTTTAAACAAAAAGCCAAATAACTGAATACTATAAAAGCACAAGACTATGTAAAAAGATGCATTACATAGAAGGGATCAATTATACAGTGGAAGCTGACTTCTGATTAGAAACAGAGGCAAGAGGAAAATAAAACCATTTTTAAAGTACTAAAAGAAAAAGCAGAGCAATTCTACATCAATGAAATATCCTTCAAACTTGGCAGTAAATGAAAATATTTTCAGAGAATAAAAAGGTCAGATAATTTGTCACAAGAAAATTGGCAATAGGCCGGGCACAGTGGCTCACGCCTGTAATCTCAACACTTTGGGAGGCTGAGGTGGGTGGATCACGAGGTCAGGAGTTCAGGACCAGGCTGGTCAAAATGGTGAAACCCCGTCTCTACTAAAAATACAAAAATTAGGCAGGCATGCTGGCAGGCACCTGTAATCCCAGGTACTTGGGAGGCTGAGGCAGAGAACTGCTTGAACCCGGGAGGCAGAGAACTGCTTGAACCCGGGAGGCAGAGGTTACAGTGAGCCAAAATCATGCCACTGCACTCCAGCCTGGGCGACAGAGCAAGACTCCGTCTCAAAAAAAATAAAATAAAATAAAATAAAACAAATAGAAAGAAAGAAAGAAAGAAAGAAAGAAAGAAAGAAAGAAAGAAAGAAAGAAAGAAAACCCAAGTAATCTAAAATCTAAGAAAGTCAAATCAAGCTAATCAAAATAAATCAACTCCTCCATCCGTCAGCAAGCATACTAGCAGGCTCTCTCATCAGTGAAGCTAAGGAGCAGAAAACTGCTTGAACCGGGAGGCAGAGAACTACTTGAACCAACGGGAGAGCAGAGGTTACAACGCTCATCCGCCTCCACCTCCAGCCGCGGCAAACAAAACTCCATCTCAAATCATCATCAGCTCATCAAGAAAAGAAAAATTAGCAATACAGAATCCACAAAGAAAAGTTCTTAGAATGAAGAAAAATGACCACAAAACTAAAATTTGTACCTACAAAAAAAAGAAAGAAAGAAAGAAAGAAAGAAAGAAAGAAAGAAAGAAAATTGGCAATACACAGAATCCTAAAGAAAGTTCTTCAGAATGAAGAAAAATGACCACAAAACTAAAATTTGTACCTACAAAAAATAATGAAGAGTACTGAAAATACTAAGTAAATATATGAGCGTAAACAATTTTTTTCTGTTCTTTATTTCTTTAAGAAAGGGTGTTTAACGCAACAATGAGCATGGCACTGTGGAGTAAATTATGAGTGTAGATGTAAAATATATAATGAAAAAGAACAAAGGATGGGGGCTAATTAAAATTATGCTATAGCAAGGTTCTTCATATTTCATATGAGGTGATAAAGTACTGCCCTCTAGGCATATGATGACAACTTAAAGAGGACACTAATTCCTAGAGCAACCACTAAAATAATAATGGTTGTAGTAACAAGGAATAGTTGGAAAGTCATTAAAATAATTAAACAGAATACAAGAATACCTTGTTTCAATTCCACTGTGCTTTACTATGACACTTCACACTGTGTTTTTTTTAACAAACTGAAGTTTTCCAGCAACTCTGTGTCCAGAAACTCTTATCAGCATTTTTCCAACAACATGTGCCCACGTCATGGGCATAGTCACATTTTAAAAATTTTCAGAATATTTCAGACCTTTTCATTATTACTATATCTACTATGGTGATCAGTGATCTTTGATATTATTATTGCTTTGGTGCACTACAAACCATACTCATTTAAGATGACAAAATTAATTGATAAATTGTTTTGTATATTCTGACTGCTCCATAACTGACCATTCCTCTGTCTCTCTCCCTCTAGCAGGGCCTCTCTATTAACTGAGACACAACAACACTGAAGTTAGACCAATTAGTTACCCTACAATGAACTCTAAGTGTTCAAGCAAAAGGAAAAGTCACATATCTTTCATTTTCAATCAAAAGCTAAAAATGACTAAGCTTAGCCAGGAAAATGTATCAAAAGCCAAGACAGACTGAAAGCTTGCTCTCTCACACTAAACAATTATCCAATATAAGAATACCCCCCCCCCAAAAAAAAAAGGTTCTTCAGGGAAATTAAAAGTGCTGCTCCAGAACAGATGAATGATAAACGTGAAGAACACTTATGGGTGATATGGAGAAAATATCAGTGGTAAAGGATAGAAAATCACACCAGACACAACATTCTGTTTGTCCAAAGCCTATTCCAGAACAAGGCCCAGACTAGCTTCAATTCTATAAAGGCTGAAAAAGGTAAGGAAACTGCAGAAGAAGAGTTTGAAGCTAGCAGAAATTGGAGGTTTGAGGAAAGAAGCTGTCTCCATAACACAGAAGTACAAGGTGAAGCAGTAAGTCCTGATGTAGAAGCTATATGGCAAGTTATCCAGATTTAGTCTAGATCATTGATAATGGTGGCTACACTAAACAGATTTTTCACTGTAGACAAAACAGCCTTATATGGAGAAAAGATGCCATCTACTACCTTTACAACTAGAGAGTAAAAGCCAATGTTTGGCTTCAAAGCCTCAAAAGACAGAATGAGTACCTTGTTAGAGGCTAGTAGTGACTCTAAGTTGAAGCCAATGCTCATTTACTATTCTAAAAATCCTAGGGTCCTCAGGAATTATGCTAAATCTACTCTACCTTTGCTCCAGAAATGGAACAAGAAAGCCTGAATAACAGCATGTCTGTTTACAACATGGTCTACTAAATATTTTAAGCACACTGTTGAGATGTACCACTTACAA